TGCGTGTCCCCTTGCGGGCTTGGGACTGGAGATGACGACAGCTGCCCTGATGGGGTTGGGGCGGTGTGGGTGAGGGCAAGCTGCTGCGGAATGTCAGGCCCGAAAGAGTCAACAGAGAGAGCTGCGGCTGGACTGTCCGTGGACACAACGGGGGGCAGCAGAATCACAGCAAGGACTTCACCGCAGTGGCCAAGAGGACCACACAGAGGAGACTGAAGTGCTCAACACAGTGTCAGCTAGGAAATAAGGGCTCAATAAACTGGAGTTATTCACTGGTGCGCGAAAGTGTTGCCTGGCAGGTAGTCCAGTGGCTAGAACTTGTGAGCTGGTCCAGCGCCGGCCAGGTCCTTACAGGGACAACCTTAAGGCCCAGACTGCTGACAGTCCACCGTTCCTAAAAGTTGAGGTTGTAAAGACCTGAGCTGAGAGCTGAAAGGAGAAAAGGGTGTTTTCCTAAGTGGTCTAGGGGCTTTCCACTCAAGGGTTTGGAGCAGGCGGGGAAAGCCTGAAGAAATTTCTTCTTCTTAAGTTGTAGTGAAAGTATTACGTAGTTGTAGGTAGAAAGAAAGTGGGAGGGGACTGATGGCGCAGGGGTTAAAGTCTCAGCACTATCAAGCTATCAGCAGCCTCTATGACCTATGCAGCCGGCTCTCCCATCTCGTCTGCTGCGCCCTGCAGCAGTGTATTGCAGTAGATCCGCCTGTTCTAGTCCCCTCCTTGTCTCTGGGGAATCCTCTCATCCCAGCACCTCTGGCCTGTGCCCCAAATCTTGTATGCAGAATTAAGACAAATCTTTTAAAAAAGAAAATAATATAGAAAAAGCACGTTTTCTTCTACTGTTCCTGCCCCTTAGAAGAAAATACAAATTATTTTTCTTCACTAACCTTTCAGGTGTTTGTGGCCAGATCAGGTCATAGATACTTAGGTGTCTGTATTATTAATTTCCTCATGGGGTCCGACAGGCCAACTTCATTTATTTATTTGTTTATGAATACAAGAACTGGGAAGGGAGGGTGAGAGGATTCCCCAGAGAGAGCGGGGAACAGAACAGGCAGATGTACTGAAATAAACTGCTGAGGGGAGCAGTGGAGAGACAGGAGAGGTCTGCTATGCCATGTGGCTCAGCAACCTGGCTGGGGGTGAACTCATGCTGCTGTGGATGCAGATAGCTTCTGTAGTGCTGTGTTTTAACCCCATGTGCCACCAGGGAGGGCCCCCAACTTCATTCTTTACAAGGTTGCACAGGGTCCATTGAGTGACCGGCAATACTTTGTTTTATAATCGTGACCCTGTTAATAGTCACTTAGGTTGTTCCCAAGATTTGTTTTCCCACCGTGCTTCAGCCAACCTTTCCTTGATGGAATATTTTCTTTGTCTCCTAGTTGAGTTTGGGGGATATTTTGCTTTTGTCCTTCTTGACATCGTCGGTTATTAACAACTTGTTTGTGGAGGCGAGCACCCACTGTTAATCTCATCAAACACAAACATGAGAAGAATCAGTGTGCTCCAAGAATATACAATCTAAAATCAGCTCTACCAAAAAATGGGTTGGGAGTGTTTGGAGAAAAGGTGACTAGAGACTGAGAAGTCCATACTGGCAGCTGGTCACATTGGCTGGTGATTGTTGGCCTCCTGTCAGTTGTTACCCAGGAAACAGATTTGAGAGAATCTCTGGGGTGGGAGGGATTTTAAATGTCAGCACTTCTGCTCTGTAGACCCGGAAGAGATTAATCAGTTCTTGGGGGAGGGGAGTTCATGAGCATCTTGAACATTGACTATATCATAAGGTTACACCCTTTGGACATTCCCTAGTGTGAAAATCGAAGTCTTTTTTTAAAAATAAACTAACATGGATGTGATTTTCCTACAAATAACTCCTCTTTTGGATGAGGGCCCTAACCCAAATGAAGCAAAACCTTTTATTTTTTCTGGCATTTTATAGGTATTCAGTTTGTCACCCCCTCCCTCTTGCAGCTGGTTTGCTAATCCTGGAGCTCTGAAGCAGCCAGGGTTGGCAGTCTGCAGAGCATCTGAGAAGCTTTTATCCTAACATAGAACCTTTTCTTTCTTTCCTTTCTTAGATTTAGGCTCTGTCCTGATGGTAGCGCCTAAGATACCTTTTAATACTTACTGTGCTTTCATCATTATGAAAGAGGTGGAAGGAAGGAGAAAGAACAGAGTAGTTATAAATGAAAGAGATTTTTCTTTTCTATTTTAGCAAATGGACAAAATAATTGAAGAAAACATATAACTGCTTTTATAACCCCTGCCACAGGTCATATGCATGTATAATTTTTTGTTTAATGTAATGTAAAATACATGGAGGAAAGAGATTCTAGCTAGCAAAGCCAGCATTCTTCATTCTTTGCAGTTGAAGAATCTGCAGTTTTCATTTTGGTAAGCCATTGATGGATTTTTTTCAGTTGTAGCAATTGATCCATCCAAGAAGAGGAAAACAAAAGAATTTCTAGTGGTTTTATTAAATGCCATTAAATTTGGAAAGCTGATGGAACATGGGTCTGGAGCACATCCAAGGGATCAAGGTGGTTTTAGCTGCTTTTGTGGTCTCTGTTTGCTGACTCTTGACTTTTCTCTGCTTAGGAGTCTAAGACATCCTTTTCACAGGCCCACAGTGGAGACTGACAGGTACCCAGAGACACAATGAGATAGAAAAGTCCAGGATGATCACATAAGGTCCCCAACAAGTGAGATGGTGGGTAAAGAGCCAGAAGTTGTCCTAATAGTGACTCCCCAGGTCCAGGGTCCACCAGACAACCTGGACGATGACTCCGTTGAAGACCCTGAGACCCTGCCACGAAGGAACCCTCCCAGCCCTGTGGCTTCCAGGCAGAGGTTTCGGAAGTTCTGCTATGAGGACGCAGCTGGGCCGAGGGATGTGCTGTGACATCTTTAAGAGCAACCTGACATCCACACGGAGGAGCAGATCGTGGAAATGCTAGTGTGGGAGCAATTCCAGGCCGCCCTCCCCAAGAACCTTGGAGATCACTTGCAAGGATGTCAGCCTGGGGTCAGAATCACTAGCTGCCTCTTGCTGCCTGCTGCTTGCTCAGCCTGCGAGTGAGAAATAACCAAAGGTCTGGAGCAAAATATAGCTTTAGCCAGGGCAAGTCTGAACCTTGGTCTTCTCTGAACTTGCCTTTATCAGTTATTATAAGAATCAATCAAAACCTATTTCTGGACCTCTCTTTGATGAGGCAGCTCTATTTTTTGGGACTGTGAACTCCAGGAGGAATTTTTGTGCCCTCTTGTTAGGATGGTCAGCCTGCTGCTTGTTCTGCTCTCCTGAGTGCCTCCCTTTTTGCACTTTCTGGCATGCTTTAATATATTGTTTTTATGTATCCAAAGCAGTTACTGCTTTCACTTTCCAAATTCTTAATTTTCATGGTGGCACCATGATTGGAAGCTTCTGGAACCCCACCTGTAACTCACTTGCAATATCCTTGCAATATTAAATTTGGCCCTTAATAAAAATGTCCTTGTTGAGCACTTAGGACTCATCATTTGAGAAAGGTGAGATAATTATCAGGAATAGATGTGAGCTAAAGAGAAGAGCTATCAGTGTGGCATTTGCTGAGCTGGGAAATAAATACTAACAGGCGTGGCCTTTGTTTTCAAAGTCAGAACTTAAATTGGAGAAAATGGGGTCATAAGAGGTAAGTCACTCAGCTGATTTGCGCTCTCCATTTTCATCACCCTTGCTACACAGCTCATCTTCCTGGTAGAGAACTCTCTCGAACCCCATCTGACAGTGCTGTTCTGTCTCCTGGCTGTGTGTGTGGACACCAGTCCTTTGGCTGACAGCAGTGGCAGGGCAGTAGCTATGGTCATGGCAGGCCCAATAAACAGCAGCTGCTTCCCCAGCATGACCCAGGTCAGAAGAACCTGCTGCTTCTTGGCCTGCGTCTTTGCATTTGTAGGTCTGCTCCAGTAACAAGCTTGGTGCCAATTTGGAAACTAATCTTTTGGGAGAGGGACTGGTAAGCTTCACTCTGGAGCTGGAGTTTAGATTGCCGATGTTTGTTTAGTGTTTCCAGTGCCTTCAGATCTGTTCTAGGGGCTAGAATACAAATATAAAACCCAGTCGTAAGAAGATGTATAGTTTCTGAGAAGAGGAAGAAACTATCAAACTATAAATTAAAATGCTAGAGTAAAGCTAGACTCCCTTTTCATATTGTTTTGAGAGCACGTTAAGAAAATACATTTCCTGGGCCCTCCCTTGTAGCGCAGTGGGTTAAAGCACAATACTATGAAGCTGCTGCAGCTGCTTCAGCACAAGTTCAATCTCCCACCAGCCAGGTGGCCCACATGGCACAGCAGACTTCTGTCTCTCCCACTGCTCCCCTCAGCCATGTACTTCATCAGTCTGCCTGTTCTGC